GTATTAATTTAAGCAATAAATAAATAAATATATATATAATACATAAATATTAATTTAAGTACTAAATAAGTATATATTAAGTATTAAATATTATATAATTTTAATTTAAATATTTAAGTAATAAATCAATATTACAAAAGCTATAAAAATATAAATATTACAAAGTCTATAAATATATAAATATTACAAAGTCTATAAATGTATAAATATTACAAAATCTATAAATATATAAATATTACAAAATCTATAAATATATAAATATTACAAAATACATAAATATACAAATAAATATATTCAATAACTTTCTCAGGAAAGAATCGTGTTATAATTGCGATAATAGTGAAACAAAAAACTGAAAAATTATAATTTGAATTGAAATCGAATTATTTAGTGAACGAATGAAGCGAAATTGTATCGTAAAATAGCGGATCGACGAGAAACAAAGTTCACGCGATTCAAAGAAGCTCGCGACGATCCGAAGCGAAACGATTAGCCGGGTTCGAGCGTGCCAAACGGCATCATTTTTCTTCCGATTTCCTTCGCGGCCCGTTAATAATAGTGATCCGCACGTTTCTCGCGCCTCGATATCCCGATGTTGCACGCTATTTTAGTCGTCGCGGAATCATTGGCAATAGTCTCCTTTTCGGTTTCACGGGGCCGTCGCGAGAGTTGCGGCCGCGCGCCGCGCGGCCCGAGGCGATCGTTCGGCTTTCTTGCGGCTGTTAAATCCCAATAAGGAAGTAAAACGTGACGGGACACGATGCGAGCCCGTGATTGCGTTTCAAGCGCATGAAAAACGTTTAATCGGGGGATCTGTACGGACAGAAATACCATGGGGAAACATTTTCCTAGCGGTTTTTCTGCGGAACCCGGTGGCGGCGGCGTGGTTGCTGCCGGCCGGATCGAAGATTTTAGCGACTTTTTTGACAAAAACCTAATTTTCTCATATCGATGCCCAGTGAATTTTTATTGCCTGTTAAATGCCCGTTACCCTCGAAAGTGCGAGATATTAATAAAAAATGATCATAAAAATTGTATAACAGATACGACAATTTAAAGTTGAACGTTTTCAACGTTACATTTGACGGCAAAAAGTATGCTTTTTTTCCTCGCGATGTCCCGACGAACCTAATTCATTTTTTCCTTTGCTTTCGTTTTTGACATTAGGAGGCAATATTTCTCGTTAGGATACGGTAGCTTGAATTAAAATTATCGTATTCTATATGTGAAAAATATAATGTTCAATAAAATACAAAAAGTGTAAAAATTCTTTACATTCGACAAGGAATATCTTTTGACACCCAAGGAATCATGGTTTCGGACGAACGGTGTATTTTCAGGATACTTTCCTCTACGTAATTCTGTAAAAGTTACATACCAAGACGAAGCAGACTGTAAATTATATTATATATTTGGTACATAAACGTTAATGTCATATTAATATTATATTTGATATATCAATATTAATATCATATTAATATTATATTTGATATATCATTATTAATATCATATTAATATTGTATGTGGTATATAAATATTAATATCATTAATATTATATTTGATATATCAATATTAATATCATATTAATATTATATTTGATATATCATTATTAATATCATATTAATATTGTATGTGGTATATAAATATTAATATCATTAATATTATATTTGATATATCAATATTAATATCATATTAATATTATATTTGATATATAAACATTAATATCACATTAACATTATATTTAATATATCAATATTAATATAAACAATATCATATTTATAATATTAATATCATATCTATTATATAATGCCAATATAATCTTGCATAGGTATATGTCCAAAGAAACGAATTTATCGTACAAATTCGCCGAAAACGTATCTCCGCAATCTCGATAAATAATTGAAAAACTAAACAATTTCTTCAACGTGAACACGAAACATAAAACTACACGTATTTATGCTCTCGGCTGAAACGAACGGTATTCCTAGAACACATTTTCCATCGTCATTGCTGAAAACGGTATATTTTCCGAATTATTAAAGTCCGAACATTTTTAATTCGCACGCATAAAAAAAACGTGGACGCGTGGTCACGTAGCTACTGGTAATGGAGCTGCGCGGTTAGTTCCGCGCAAGTTCTCTCAGCGATACGCCACGATAAAAAGACGATAATGCGAGCATAAATCAGGAAGGAATCAATCTCTGTTGAAGAAACAGTGTTTTCCCTTGGAGCATGTTTGAGATTCCTGATGGCGAGGTCGCTTTCAACCTCGAGTTAACCGGCCCGGTAAAAATGTGGGTAGCGCGCGAGCGCGCGCGCACACATGTTTCCGATGCTCTTGCGTGTATGCGTGTACTTACTTCCAGCCTGCCTGGGCGGAATATTTGCGGCCGGTGAAGATCTCTCCATTTTCCTTTCTGAGCTGAATGAACCGGCAGGTGAGATTCTCGGTCCCTGTGAACATCGGCGAAAAGACGAAAGAAAGAGAGAAAGAAGGAGGAAGAGAAGCGGTGGAGCGACGGGGGTGGGGGGGAGTGACTGCGTGACTCGGGATTATTATCACGTGTCCCCGCGGTTACGATTCCTCTATTAGACGGTTATTACACGTCACCGACGGAATGTCGCCGTCTCGTGCGGGAGAGCACGGTGTGCCCGGCCGGCAAAAAATTCATTTCGTGCGTTTTCGATTGTTGCGTTTTCTTTGTACGCCCAATTCTTTACGCGGGATTTTTTTACACTGTGTAAATTATATAAATTATATATTGTATAGTTTGTTATTTCTAATGTATAATTTATACGATTTGTATCATTGTATAATTTCTAATGTATAATTTATACAATTTGTATCATTGTATAATTTATAATGTATAATTTATACAATTTGTATCATTGTATAATTTATAATGTATAATTTATACAATTTGTATCATTGTATAATTTATACAATTTGTGTAATTGTATAATTTATAATGTATAATGTATAATTTATACAATTTGTATAATTGTATAATTTATACAATTTATACAATTTATACAATTTGTGTAATTGTATAATTTATAATGTATAATTTATACAATTTGTATAATTGTATAATTTATAATGTATAATTTATACAATTTGTATAATTGTATAATTTATAATGTATAATTTATACAATTTGTATAATTGTATAATTGTATAATTTATAATGTATAATTTATACAATTTGTATAATTGTATAATTTATACAATTTAAACAATTTATACAATTTGTGTAATTGTATAATTTATAATGTATAAT